AAATAAATAAATAAAATCTTTAAAAAATAAAAAATAAAAACCTAATTTTAAATGGTATCATCTATAGTGTATTTGACCCATGTGTTCTGCTTTACCTAAAAATAACCTTACCAGTTTGTGACAGGACTCATTAATGAATTTTGAAAGCCTTGTTGTTTCTCTTTCTGCAGAAAAGAAAAAAGCAGGACTATTTGAACAAGTCACTAAAACCCATGGAACAATTATTGGCATCACATCAGGGATTGTCTTGGTCCTTCTCATTATTTCTATTTTAGTACAAGTGAAACAGCCTCGAAAAAAGGTCATGGCTTGCAAAACTGCGTTTAATAAAACTGGATTTCAGGAAGTGTTTGATCCTCCTCATTATGAACTGTTTTCCCTACGGGACAAAGAGATTTCTGCAGACCTAGCTGACTTGTCAGAAGAACTGGACAACTACCAGAAGATGCGGCACTCCTCCACTGCCTCCCGGTGCATTCATGACCATCACTGTGGGTCGCAAGCACCCAGTGTCAAACAGAGCAGGACCAACCTGAGTTCCATGGAACTGCCTTTCCGAAATGATTTTGCACAACCACAGCCAATGAAAACATTTAACAGCACTTTCAAAAAGAGTAGCTACACTTTCAAACAGGCACATGAGTGCCCTGAACAGGCCCTAGAAGACAGAGTAATGGAGGAGATTCCTTGTGAAATTTATGTCAGAGGGCGAGAAGATTCTGCACAAGCGTCCATATCCATCGATTTTTAACCTTCTACTAAGGGGACATTAATTATTAAGTGTGTGTGTATGCAGCCTACAGAGCACCCATGCTCTTCAGCAGCCAACCCTTTTCTCCTATCAAAACTAGCAAGACCTTCGTTCCCACCAACCTACTGTAACAGTGAAGCTTTTCTTGTCTCAGGCAGTCTATGTGTTAAACCAACCAAGGGACCTCCTCCGGTCCATGAACAAAATAACAGTCACTATTGCTTGGTATCACACACACAAAGTACCAGCGAAATAGCATTTGAAGGGGGGGGGGTGGTGCTGAGCCAGGCTCAGGCTGCCTGTTAGGCTTAGCAACAGGAATACTGCTCTGGATTGATACAGCTTGTCAACATTTTGATCCCACAATAAGTTTAAAAATAAGATTTGTCTCTACATTCCTTTTGGTTTTTTTTCCCTCTAAATTTAATTTGTTTTGTAAGTCCGTGATTTTACCATTTTGGTTTCTTACATAAACATAAATGGTTAATGTACCACACATACTTCAATACAGGCATTTGTTCTAGAATTTGTCAAAATATAACTCGTTACTGTGCTAAGTGCCAGTGAAGACCCAGAGTTCTGTTTCACCCATCTGTTTCTTCTTGACTAATTTCTATACTGCTGCCTTTTAATTACTGAATCCTTAGTCCTTATTTTTTGTGAATAGTAGATGATATGATTTATCATCTTTAAGTCCTATTTTGTCTTATACTAGAAGATTTCATAATCCTAGGATGTACGCACCCTTGCCAGTTATGACTAAAAACTTGAAAGAGATTAAAACTTCTGGAAATCCTTTCAAATTTCCCAAATTTGGTCACATGCGGTGGTGGCCCATTCATTCCTGTGTGCAGTCGTTTCATTCATCTTGGGGGAGGCTGGTAATTATGTTTCTTTGCAGCATTTCTCATCACCAGATTTGTGTTTCCTGTTGTTTTTATAAGATGATTTTGCTCCCTTTGTATTGGTTTATGTTATGGCATATGGTAGCCAAGGTTGTATGAGAGTTAAAGGAAAATTCCTAAGAAACTGTAAGAGCCCTCAAATTGCTTCTTACTTGGGACAATACATTTTTCTAGTTCTTACCAAGAATAACAACTTCCACTTTTTTTTAAACTGCACTTTTGACCTTATGTTTTTTTTTATGGTATATAAACAATAATTTATAAACATGATATAAAAACTCATTGTGTTTTTTTAGACTTTTGATATTATTTGATACTGTACAAACTTTATTAAATCAAGATTAAAGACCTACATGAGCGATTTCTTTCAGTGTTCACATTAGTGGCTTTATGTACAAATATGCTGTGATGGAACGACACGTTATAACTTACTGTAAAGACCTTAGTAATGTGTACGTAAGCGTTTGTTTCCTTTTGTTATTGCATTTAGTTTATGATGAAATTTTCACTGTGTGTTATTTATTGTTCTAAATCACTACACAAATCTTACATTAAAATTAAATGCATTGTTACATGATTCTTCAATCATGTTATTGCCCTGAAATTTTGGATCTTAGGTATATATGGAAAGGAATCCATTTATCAAATTATAACTAACACAGACATGCCATTTTAAAGAGAGAAATTCTCATTTTGATATTTTTTGTAGCAAATTCTCAATGAAATGAGAAATTAAAGGTTCACTGAATTTCATTGGTTTTTTAAGATATCACATGTATGGGTTTTCTCAGATTAGTGAAAACTGGGACCTTTAAATATGATACATATAAAATACCCCTTCAAAATGTTTCTTATAGCACATTTTTTTATTTTTTAAAAGTATATAATATCCAGGAGATAGGAAAACCTATAGATAGTATATTCATGATTTAGCATTTTTTAAAGTCAGCATAATTTCCTGTTTTAAAGATAAAATTTGGGAAAGTAGAAAGACTTAATGAATGTAGTATTCATTGAACTAATGAGCCAGAGCCAGATTAGATAGAAATTCTTTTAGTAGCTACGTTGAATAGGCATTCTAGTAGTTAGTAGCCAGCCAACATTTGAACAGCATAGTAAATATTTAATATAACTGTGATCTCCTTCATGATCATGAAGGAAAACTAGCAATTTTCTATGTAAAATTATATCCATTATAAAAACAGCTGTTAAGTCCATCATTAACACCTACATTATAGTAGAAACTAATACAGTATGCTTAACTACATTAATTCTAGTCACTTGTAACTATATTTTTGAAAATTGTATCCTACTTTCTTTTAAAAGGACATGAAGAGGCCTACAAAATAGAGCCTTTAAAGAAGACATTTAACATTAAAACAGCACAGAACTACATAGCTTCAGGCAACCCCACTTAGCAAGTAAAGCTTGGACAACAATTTTGGTTCTAAACTTTCTGGCTGCTAAAACAAATGAAATAGTTTTTGTTTTTCACAGTAGAGAACCCAAACTGCAGAGGCTAGTTTTCTCTTCAACTAAAGAAAGAGGATCTGTATATAGAACAACATTTCCTCAGAACTTAAATAAGATGCAAAATGCAGAGAGAAGTCAGAATGGTAAATCTTTATCTAGTGAAGGCACATCTTAATACAGTCGGATCATCGGTTTTTGATCAGTCTGTCTGCAGGGGTAGAACTGAGAGCCAGATGATCGATATTAGCTAAGCCAGCCTTAAACTGCCCTATCTTGTATGCCTTCATCGAAGTATAGATGGCTATTAGGCCTTGTTTAAACATTTTTTAGTCAAACATTTATTTGGCAGTACACTATAGGAAAAGAAGAGAATGGAACTATTTTTTAGGCATTATTACCAGCGTAACACTAATTGCTGTATTATATAGTCTTTCATCTTTGAGGTTAGTAAGAAAACTTCACAAATTGTTTACTGAAGTAAAAGCCATAAATTTTAGTAATGAAAGATGAACTTTAGCCATCTTGTGGAAGTTATTACACCCTTCACAGAAAAGACAGAAGCCAGTTGTTAAACATACAGTGGAAAATGCAAAGCTGGAGGGGAAAGTATCTTCAATTCAGGAGCAGCACTTAAGGACACCTCTACAATGTTGTTGTTACCTTTCACCTGAGAACCTGAGTTTAGCACAAGATATCAACACTCAAGTGCCCGCAAATTGCAGGAAATCTATGAATCCTAACATCTAAAGTACTTACGGATAAAGTGTGATGTACCTTTTGTGGAGGGAAATGTTCAACCTAAAGGTTTAACAAAAAGCAAAAGATTTTCAACCTTTCACATCACAAAAGAGATTAAAAAGGCTCCTTTGACTTGTTAACAGCTTTTGTGTCTGTCCTTGTCATGTTTCATGTAATTACTAAGCATTAAAAGAACCTCCTAAATGCTTCTAAATATTTTTATAGTTCTGTTTTCTGATAAGCAGGATGCTTTCTGGTTTCAGGAGTGTGTCAGGTGATGAGACAGGACAGGAAAAAAGCCTAGTTGTGATTCCAGGAGTGATTCTCAAAGGGGATTTATGCCCTCTTACAAAATGGCGTCTGCTAAATTGTTCATGAAGGGACCTTGAGTTTTGGGGTTTTTTTTTTTTTTAAGATGATCTGTTCAACTTCATTAATGAGAATTCTGAGGCCCAGAGAAGAAGAGTACCCACATCTCAGAACTAGTCCCATGCTCTTGCCTTGCCTTTGCTGTTTTTCCCCTGCTTTAGCTAGCTGGAAGTTTTAAAGGTCAAGCAGTTCTAAACGGCAGCCCAGATGTTCCATGTAAGCTTGTCAGTCATTCTGATTTAAAATGTATTTTATTCTATAATAATTTTTTTCAAAGCATTTTACTTTTTTTTTTAAATCTATGTAACACTATTCTATAATTTTGTTGCCATGACTTCTTGGCATCTGCAAACTGCAAGACAATTACTGTGAATTCTTAATAAACAATGTTAACAATTTACAGGTTTGGCATCAGATAAAAAGAGCTTCAGTGTTTTGCATTTGTGATCTTTCTTAAATCTAAAGGAAACAATGTGTACTCTAGAAATTAAAGATTTGTGTGCTGTATCTCTTGAGTTTGGAGAATGATTTGAGTTCTGAGCCATGATGACAAGTTGACCTCAGATATCTTTTTTAGGTCCCTGCAAAATCAGTTTTCCATGTTTTATATACCTCAACAAATTAAAAATCTGAATTTGCTTTTTTTTTCGTCACTTTTTCATATATGTCTGTGATTTTTAGTCACTTTTTCATATATTTCTGTGATTGGTTTAATGACTACAAAAGCCCAAGAAGCTAATGACTGGGGTACATATTTAGTAAGTACTTTTTTTTTTTCAAGATTTTATTTATTTGACAGAGACACAGCGAGAGAGGGAAAACAAGCAGGGGAAGTGGGAGAGGGAGAAGCAGGCTTCCCGCCGAGCAGGGAGCCCAATGCAGGACTCAATCCCAGGACCCTGGGGATCATGACCTGAGCCGAAGGCAAATGCATAACCGACTGAGCCACCCAAGCACCCCTAGTATGTACTGTCTTGAGTAAAATTTTTTTTAAGATTTATTTATTTCAGAGAGAGAGGGGAGGAGCTGGGTGAAAGGGAAAGGGAGAATCTCAAGCAAACTCTGTGTCGAGTATGGGGCCCAATGCAGGACTCAATCTCACAACCCTGAGATCATGACCTGACCCGAAACCTAGAGTCGGATGGATACTTAACCAACTGAGTCACCCAGATGCTCCTTGAGTAAATGTTTTTTTAAAAAATGTTTTTTTAAAGCAGTGATTTTTAGAGATGAATATCCAGACCATGTAAGAATTCTTGTATGTCTAATCCTGGATTTGACACTTCACAGTAAAGAATATGACCCTTGAACTGGAAATAGAACTTGTGTTTTGATTTCCTTGCTTGTCTCAGTTTCCAGAGTCTCTAGAAGTGGCAAAGAATCCTTATTTCCTTGCAGGGTGAAGTTGGCATTTCCTACCCAACAGCTTCCAAAAAAAAATAATCTTAGTTATGATAAAAAGTAAAAGCATCCTCAGGCTATTAACACCATTTAAGTTTTCAAATTAATCTTCAATTGAAGTTAAAAAAAATTTAAGGTGAATTTAGTGTTAGATTGCCTACAGATGCACTGTGCTACTTCCAGTCACTGACGTGGCCGTGAGGACTTTCAGAGTGGGTTGTCAGACGCTGTCCTTTTGAGGTGCAGAGTGCATCAGTCATGGCCACAGCCTAGCAAGGATGGATGAGTAGATTTCACAAAAGGTGCACACTGAGGAGAAAGCAAAGGAAAGCAAAAACTCTGAGCTTTACAATCATACAGACACAGATCAAGGAGCAAAGAAAGACGAAAGAAAAAGGTAGTTACCACTGGCCTGTCCCTGCAAATAGTTACAGAGCCATTTTACTTTCTGTGTTATTTAGGATCAAGAAACAGCTTTTATCTAAAAATGCTCTCACCTGCCAAGCTTTCTCATACTCTGTAACATCTGGTGCCAGCAGGCCACCGAGCCGGTACATACTTTATGGAAACATTATGAGTAACTGCTGATTGCTAGAAGGAATTCTCATCAGAAATCTAGGTATTGAACCTGCTTTTCAAATGTTCTATTCTTCCACTGATGACTTTGTCCTGTTGTATTAAGCAATGTCTCAGAGAAGTAGTCACAACTTTTGAACCAAAAAATAGTTGCATGAATTGTAGGGAAATTCTTTCCAGACCCTTAGAAGACGTTTCACTCTGAAAATGTGCACAAGTAACAATAGTGAACTTGCTGCAACTTCCTCTGTTTTACATTCATAGCCAAAAGCAATCTTACTTCCTCTGTCATTTATTTTTAATATAAAAAATGAATAAAGCTTGTGGTAGGAGGCTTCTAGGATGGCTCCCAGTGATCCCTGACTCCTGGTGTTCATAAGCTTCTATCATTCCCTGACGGGTGTGAGCTGGATCTGGGACCTGCTTCCAATGAATGTGTCAAAAGTGCCACGTCACTTCTGAGATTAGGTGACAGGCTGCCTTCTGTCTTGCTCACCCACTAGTAGTTGGGTGATTTCCTGCTCAGATGGAAGCCATTTGCCATGTGCTGAGGTGCTCTATGGAGAGGCCCATGTGACAAGAGATGGGGATTTCGAGCCAACAGTTAACATGGCACAGAGGCCCTCAATCCAATCACCTTCGAAGAACTGAATCCTCCCAGCAACCTGCCTGGAAGAGGATCCTCCCCACACTGGAGCCTTGAGAAGACCACAGAAAACACCTTGACTGACTCTTGTGAAAGACCTTGAATACCACCAAGACCACTGATGCAGAAATCCAAGTTATGTGCTGTTTCAAGCTGCTGAATTTTGGGATAATTTGTTACATAGCCATTGATAAATAATACAAAGCTAGAAAAGGACAATGGCATAACCCAACTCGACCTCTGAGGGAAAAGTAGTTGATGAAATTTAACATGATGTTTTTTTGTTTTTTGTTTTTTTT